CTCAAGGCAGCCCAGCTCCAGGTTGAGCTGTTGTTCAGCATCTTAGCTGTAGAGGGCAGTGTCACTGACCCTCATATGTGGGATCTGAACCGGGGCCTTCTGGCGTCCCAAGCCAGTTCTTAACCATCGTGCCACTCGGCCGGCCCATATAATATTTTTAAATTTTAGTTTTATATAGTATTTACTGATCAAATTACTGATACTGTATTGAGATAAATTATAGGAAATTATTAAGTAAATCAAGTGAATAGTCTTATTTTTATTGTGAAGTAGTTTTAAAAATGTTTAAAAGAATCAACATTTAGGGCTGGCCGAGTGGCGCTGGTGGTTAAGAGCTAGCTGGCTTGGGATGCCAGCTCTAAGCAGCAGGGCCCAGGTTCGGATCCCACATAGGCCAGTGACACTGCCCTCTACAGCTAAGATGGTGAACAACAGCTCGACCTGAAGCTGGGCTGCCGTGAGTCGCCGGTGACGGCATAGGCTGCAGTGGGCTGCTGTAAAGCTACCGTGAGTGGCTGGCAGCCGGTGTGAGCTGCCAAGAGCCTCCGTGAGCGGCCGTCCAGTGGCCGGTGACCCATCTGCCTCACCCGGGAAGAGTGCAATGATAATACCAACATGGGCCAGTGAAGCAATGTCCTCCACAACTAGACTGAAGAACAAAAGGACAGTAACTTGTCTTCTCTCCTTCTCCGATTCCCCAACGCTGTTCCCCTCCTCCAATTCCCCAATAAAATCTTAAAAAAAAAAAAAAAGAATCAACATTTATTACACTTAATCATTTTGAGTTCAGTGATGATGGATGTTAAAATATGCATTTATGTACTCCCATTTGCTTCTACTTTAAAAAACTTGGTGTGTAATCTGTATAATTATGTCTTCAATATTTAGTTTTATTTTTAAACATGCATTAAGTAAATATTTACTGTGTACCAACTAGGGACAGGCAGAGATTAATAAGACAGGTAACATCCTTCTTGATAGAGCTCTCATTTTAGAGGTCAACAAAAATAAATGAAGAAATAATGTAATTTTAGGTGTTGGCAAATGCTACTAAAAAAATTTGCAAGGTAGGAGAGAGTGACTGGGGTGGATAGGAGAAGGCTAGTTTCAATAGGATAGAGTAGGTCTCTCCAGGGAAGTGCCATTTGCACAGAGACCTGAGTGATGAGAAGGAACTAGCCCTGCGAGGACCGTAGGAGTAGACCACAGCAAGTGTAAAGGTGGTGTGGGATGTTCATGACCCTGCAAAAAGCCAGAGTGGCGGGGCAACCAAGGAAGAGAGAGGCAGGAGAATAAATCAGAGGCAGAGACTTATAGGCATTTTTAAAAACATAATGGGAATCGGTTGGAAGATTTAAAACAATGTAATAATATCTAAATTATATTTAAAAAACAATTTTGAGTTTTGTAGGGAGAATGGATTATAAGGATAAATATCAGTGAGGAGGCTGTTGGAAAAGTTCAAGTGAGAGAAGATTGTGGCTTGGACTAGTGTGGGAGACATGGAGGTGGTAAGAAGTGACTGAATTTGGGGTATTTTAATTTGTTTGGATTAAGTTTGGGGAGTGAGGGGAAAAAGGAATCAATGCTGATTCCTAGGTTTTTGGCATGAGTGGATGGTGCCATTAAATGAGATGAGGGAGACAGGTAGGGGAGGAACAGGTTTAGGCAAGGAAGTCAAGAGTTTGTTTTAAACAAATTAAATTTAAGATGGCTGTCAGGCAATCAAGTGAGATGTCGAATAGCTATTTGGATACTAGTCTGGAGCTCAGGTGAGAAGTCAAGATTGGAGATGAAGTTTGTGTGAATCATAAGTGTATAAATGGTCATTGTACCATGATACTAGATGAAATTTCCTAGGAAGTGAAGGATAAAGGGAACAACAAATCTGAAGTCTGACTCCTGGGATTCATCAAGCTTTAAGTCAGGAAGAGACGGGAAATCAGCAAAGGAGACTGGCACGAAAGTCAGGGAAAAATCACGTTGAGTGAGTTTCAAAGAGCAGGTGGCAGCTGTGTCAATGTTGCTGTGTATATGTTACCAAATACTACTAACATGGTTAGGTATTTAGTAAATTATCCCTGTTTAAATCTTTCATTGTATTAATGTAGTTCAGGAGTTTTTATACTGTAATATTTTAAAGTAACAGGAAGTCTGTGAAACCTTTTCATATACTTATTTTGTATTGTAAACCAATATCTCTTTCCTTTCTTAATTTAGGAGACCTCACTAAACAGCTTCCCATCATGGTGGTGGGGGAGCACAAGGATAAAGTGATTCAGTGCAGATGGCACACCCAGGATCTTTCCTTCCTGTCGTCCTCTGCAGACAGAACTGTAACCCTCTGGACTTACAATGGATAGAGTACACCTAGTGTCATCTATGCAGTGAAGGCACAGAGACTTAAGACTACTGAGTTGTGAAAATTCCAAGTTTGAAGAACATAGAGTGACCAGGAAAGTGGCTTAGCACGAGGAGGCCCCTTATTACCATTTACCCCTTTGGTAGGAGCTGTTGGGGGGTGTTATTCTGCAGTTCTTTCTGTCTTCCATGTGAGCTCGTGCTGCTGTGACCTGCTGTGTGTTGTAGTCTTGTTGCCAAAGTCTGCGAAAGAGCTCTTATGTTGTCATTGTGCACTCCAAGTCAAGGTGGACGATATGTTTACGGTTTAGTATTAAACGCATTCCTTGGTCTTTGCCTAAATAACAGTTTTATATACACATTGAAATTTAACTATACTTTAAGCATATTATTACATGTAACGCAACCAAGTTCTACACAGATTAAGTATAGGTATTCAGAAATTTTGCTTTTCTCACAATCCAATGATATTGTATCACTTGTCACAGGCTAGAGGTCAGAATTATAGGTCTCTCAAAAGTTATGTGGTTGTTTTCACTAAGGATCATTGTGGAGTTTAAAGATGGGTGGGAAACTGCTTCTTTGTTCATTATGTGGTATAGGCCTTTTCTTTTTTGTTAAACCCAGGGATATAATTATTTTGTCACATTATTTTGTTTCAAGCTTATTAGGTAAATGTGTTTGCTTCAGAAACTTGTTAATTTCAATTTTTTGAATCCAACAAGATACCTCCCTTCTAAATTGAACTGTAGAAGCAGAGCAGCAGCGTTACATGATACACTTGATGGTACAGTAAATTTACTGGCTAGCATTTTTCCTCTAAAAAATGAAAACTTTACCATAGACTATAGCATGGCTTGAAATGCTATGTCTGCATGATAATTTTAAAATGGATAATAAAGTTTGCACTCCAAAAGCTTATTTGGATTTTTTTTCTTGCACTGTTTTGTGTAATGCAAAATAATGATTTTATTTCTACAGCACTGTAGATCCTAACATTTATGTATCCTTATTTTCATATTGTACAGTAATTTTACTTTAAATTATTAAATAGGCTATTTTATTTATTTCAAATGCAGTTGAGTTGGTTCTAATTATTGAACTGTCTGTGCACTGTATGTAGCAAGCATTTTTAAGCTATTGTATACAAGTGGAAAGGGTTATTAGAAGTGTAACTGTGCTATTATTTCAATAAAGACCTCTTGACACCTAAAACTATTCTTGTTCCTCGGTGTCTGTGGCTTTAATTTGGAGTGTTATTTTTTTTTCCGGTTTACTTGGAGGTAGTGTGGTCCAGTGGATGAACCCTACAATCAATTTCTTAAGTTTCTTTCTAAAGTTCTTCTACTAACTTATATTTTAACTCATGACAACTGCCTAGCTTTGTGTGCCTTCTATCTCTTTTATTAAAAATCTAGAGAACTTTCTATCTTGAATATATTGTGAAAGTTGATTAATAAAAGCCTGGTAAAAAATATATATTCTAACTTAGACTAAAAATATGTTGAATTGAGTGCTTTAGGAAGAAATAAAATCTAATTAGTATGTGGATATTCAGTAGGTACCCAGTTTTCCTACCTATCAGTTAAGCAGAGGGTAACTCTGCTAAAGATAGGCTGTAATCTCCTGTTTTAGCTTACTTTCATGCTTAATTTCACACATTTTAGATATTATAGAAGGTCATTAGTGTTAAGTTTAAAACTAGAAAAAAAGGCAATTTCTTGATATAGACCAGCTCAACTTCATGGTAAAAAATGTTAATAAAATTTTACATTATACCTTCATCACTAAGGAAGTAAACTTTAAGACCATCTTATATAATATGGGGTATGGAATTCATTTTGCAGTGCATTAGATAATAAGCACTAGAAATATACTTATTTCAATAAGTCTCTGATTATGTAAGTCCTTCTCCTTGTGCCTCCACACTGTCTTTTTCATGGAGGTGACTAGATTCTGAGAGGTTTTAATTTGTAATAAGCCAAATGATACAAGCAACACAAAAAGGTAACCTGTGAAATGGAATTAAATATTTGCAAATTGTTGGGAGCTGACTGGGAGCAGTCAGGGACTCTCAGGCTGCAAGCTGGCAAGCTGCAGACCTCCATGACAGGGTGAGCAGTCTGAGACAGCCCAAGAAACAGCGCTTCTAGCCGGAGACAAGTAACAACTCAACACGCCGCCAATGCCATGCAAAGAATCAAAAGACTAACCTGTTGCTAGCTAACAATTATGGACTAATGGACACTTTCGGTCTACTAATTATTGCTTAGGAGAATTTGGTCCCCAAAATCCCCCTGTCTAATAGGGAATTGATCCCTACAAATAGGAAATTGCTTCCTCAATATAAGCTTGTTGCAAACAATAAACTGGGTCACTGACCTGCCACTCAGCAGTCAGTGGACCTCCTGAGCCCAACTTTTGTTTCTGTCTCTTTCGTTTCGCCGCTTCTCACTCCGATCCTTTCAGGTCTGCCAGGGATCCCCTGGCTGGGTGAGCAGGGTCTCGTCAGCAAATCATATATCTGATAAAGGATTAATACCCAAAATTTATAAAGAATTCCTACAACTCAACAACTTCTTTCCCCCACCAAAACCAAACAAACAACCTGATTAAAAAATGGCAGAGGACTTGAATAGACGTTCCTCCAAAGAATACATGCAAATGGCCAATAAGCACATGCAAAGATGCTCAGCATCACTAATCATTAGGGAAATGCAAATGAAAAGGCAAATGAAAACCACAATAAGATAACACTTTGCATCCATGAGGATGGCCATTATCAAAAAATAAAAAGTTCGAAAGGATGTGGAGAAAAGGGAACTCTTATGCACTGTTGAGGGGAATGTAAAATGGTACAGCCACTGTGGAAAACAGTATAGTGGTTTCTCAAAAAATTAAAAATAGAACTACCATGTGATCCAGCAACCCCACTTCTGATATATATGTGTGGATGGAAAAGGGGCCACATATTAACCAGAAGACTGAAAATAACCACATAAGATGGCGTGAGCATAAAAAAATTTCATAACTAAGTGGGCCATGGCGGAAGTCACATCTTTAGCTTCCTTCATAAAGTTAATCCTTGCCTTTCAGTGGGCCTGTCTGTCGTCTTTTTGCACTTAAGAGAACATCTTTGGAATGTCAGTAATCCTTTTTCTGGACCAGAGCTGGAAACTGCAAAATTCCTCATTATTATGCTTGTCTCCTGATTACCATCTCTATGTGCTGTAAAAAGAGAACTGTTAAATATCCTGCACCCACCTCTGTAAAAGAAGTACCTGTCTTTCCGATTTACTTTTATCCAATCCCCCGCTTTGCTTTCTCCCACCCCCTTAATCTATCACCAATGGATTTCATGTAATCTTCCAACTTTGAGTTTATGTGTAAAGTAAGCTGCAAACTGCCATTTTGCAGAGCATTTTCTCAGTCGGTTGAGATACTGCTTCCTGGCAATTATCAGTTTGGCTCAAACTCCTAAGTTTTCTCTTAGGCTGAATGTTTTTCATCGACATAACAAAAAGAATTGAGAGCAGGTTCTCAAAAAGATATTTGTACACTCATGTGCATGACAGCATTACTCAAAATAGCCAAAAGGTGCAGGCAACCCAAGAGTCCATCAACAAATAAATGGATAAACTTTGGTATACAGTGTGATGAAATATCACATTTAAAATGGGAGAAAATTTTGACACGTTAGAACATGGATGATCCAAGAGGATATTATGCTAAGTAAAATAAGCCAGCCCACAAAAAAGACTTAATGACACTGAACTGTACACTTAAAAATGGTTAAGATATTGAATTTTCCATCAGGTGTATTTTAAAAAATTGTAATAAGCAACATGTACATTCAAGTACATTATATACCAAATTTTAAGACTCTTTAAAATTTGTTGCCAATAACGTGCACATTTCTCAATTCCTCCTAGGAAGTAAAACTCGGCTTTTTTTTCTTGGAGACTTTGCTGAGATTGCAAGGCCAGAAGTTTTAAGACAAAAACAAAACAACTCTTTACCGCCCCCCCTGCCCCGCCCCATGACTATCATTTTCTTTTTTTTAAAGATTTTATTGGGGAATTGGGGGAAGGGGAACAGACAAGTTGCTGTTGTTTTTTGTTCTACAGTCTAGTTGTGGAGGACGTTGCCTCACTGGCCCAAGCTGGCATCATCATTGCGCTCTTCCTGGGCGAGGCAGATCAGCCACCGGCCCCTGGACAGCCGCTCACAGTAGCTGCTGGCCGCTCACGCTGGCTGCCGGCTACACATGGTAGCTTATGGCAACCCACTGCAGCAGGGGACTGCAGCCTATGCCATCTCCAGCGACCTGCTCTGCAGCCCAGCTCCAGGTGGAGCCGTTGCTCAGCATCTTAGCTGCAGAGGGCAGTGTCACTGGCCCTCATATGTCTCATATGTGGGATCCGAACCGGGGCCCTCTGGCGTCCTAAGCCAGTTCTTAACCAAAGTGCCACCAGGCCAGCCCCCATAACTATCATTTTCATTCATTATACCCCATTTAAAATGTTTTGTTCAAAAATAGATTTCCGGGTTTTATTTAAAAATGTTACACATTCAAACTTATAATTCTAGACTAAAAAATAGGATCCGTATCCGTTTTAAGTATTTGGCTTCCGTGTAAGTTTTCAATGCAGAGAGTTCTGGGGACGGAAAAAAAACCACACACACACACAAAACCCTGGCCTAAAACCAGCCTACTGAGGTCGGCCCCGCCCCTTCGGCGGGCCAATCAGCTGCGCGCCCGGGAGGGATTCACAGCTGCGGGCCGAGCGCGTCGATGAGGACTCGCGATGAGGACTCGCGAGAAGCCTGGCGTCCGCTGAAGCGCGCGGCGCCGGAGGTAGGCGGCTCGCCACCTTCTCCCGCGGTCCCTGGCAGGTGTGTGTCTTTCTGCAGAAGCCGGCGGGCGACCCTGGACGTGAGTGTCGGTGGGCTTGTGCAGTAGGCGGGGCTGCTGGGTCCGCCCCGGCGGGTCCCACAGGCGGCTGGGCGGCTGCGGACGTTGCCCGGGGTGGGGACCAGCCAGGGCCTGCGGGGAACTTCGGACGTTGGAGCGCTGCGTTTACCCGGATGGCCGGGCGGGCGACCCTTATCTCCTCGGCATGTGGCTGCCTTATCTCTGGTTGCTGCGTGGCTGTTGTTGGGTTACACGGCTCCAAGAGAGGCCTAGGGAAGAGGGACAAAGCAAGTGCGAAGCGGGCCCGAACAAACGTTCAATTTTGTTGGTTTCAGTTAACTGTGAAAGCTTTAAGCATCATTTGAACAAATACCATGAGCAGAAGAGTTCGGATTTGGTTGTAGTTATTTTTTTAAAACTCCAAATCTAATTTGAATGTAAAAAACTTAAGAATGCATATGTGTTTGAGTGGGTGGTGAAAAACAATTCAGGTTTTCTCTATGACAGGGGTGATGAAAGTGTGGTCCCCAGACTCGCCTCATCATCATCATCATCATCACCTGGAAGCTTATTAGAAATGCACATCTCAAGTTTGACAGACACACTGTCAGGCAACTGCACATAAGCACGGGAGATGAACTGCAAACCCTGACTTTTATGCTGTGCTACTTCTAGGCTAATATGGAATTTGACTCTCCTCTCCAGGTTAGCCTTGTCTCATTAAACGTGTAAATTCATTGAAATCAGATACTTTTCTTTTGTGCTGATTTCCACTCAGCTGGCAGTGTAGTAACAGTGTTTGGCACAGGGTAATAAAAAAAATACTAGCTACTATTACATAGTATATTATAGTTTTGATATTAGTGTTAAAGCTTGATAGAGATGAAAAAATGATAAAGAATAGGAACCAGGGGAGAGTGACTATATTTCACTAACAAGTAGAATCACAGGTGCCACCATTAAACTAAACCAACACGGGATGGTTTTTTCCTTAACACTGCTACTCAGTGTGTTCTGTGGCCAACATCTCTGCATCCCTAGGAACTTGTAGGAATGCAGATTCACAGGCCCACTTCAGACTTAATGAGAATCTGTTTTTTAACAAGACTCCTAACAGGTTTAGATGCAGCTTTGTTTGTTGGAAGTATGAAGTCAATTAGATTTCTTAAGGAGCTCCAGCCTTAAATCAGTGACCATGGGTATTTGGCAGGAGGGCTTGAATTTGCAGCTGAATCCACTTACCTCCTGTTCTTCCATCATTTTCACTTTGCTAATCCCTAGCCCTGGGTAAAGCTCTTCATCTGCTGATCTTTATTGGAGAAAATAACATGGTTGAGAACAGCATGACTTTGGATGGGGGTGGGGGTGAGGGTCATAGTCAAAAGTCAGCTACTTGACAGGCTTTAGAGTCACCTCCCTTATATAATGTCTTTAGTGCTATATTTTCCAAATTCCAGCCTCCCCCCTGGCTTTCTAGTGGACTATTTCACCATCCTTGTGATGTCATATAATAATATGAACTCTGTCAGCTACTCTTCTTTGCTTTAGAATGTTGATTTCCATCCCTCCACATTCATTTCTATTTATGAAGTAGTGTAATACCTTGTTGCCTGTGAAAGGCCCTTCCTGCAGCCTTGATTTCATACCCTGCTATCTTTTCCAAGCCTCTGCTCAGTTCACATACTCCCTTTGTCACCTACTTAGATCTTAACTGCGTAGAAGATCTGGCTGGCTTAGTTTCCTGGCATCCCTGTCATGAAGACAGTGCCCAGTCCAGTAGGTATTTAGTAAATGTTGAACAAATGAGTGCTGAACTTTTTCCCCAAATTTTTCATTCTTAATTTCTTTTTGAAGTTCATGATATCACCATTTTTGTTGTTGGGAGGCCTTGAAATCTTGGAGTCGTGTTTGTCGTCATTTCCTTTCCTTCTCCCTGCACTTGGTTGCTGAGGTCTGTAGAATTACTCTTCAAAATGTGTCAGGTGTGTTCTTTCTGTTCTCATTGACCCCACTCTTTCAGACCAACACACTTTTTCTGCTTCAGCCACCTGTTGGACAGTTGTAATCCAAGTTTTTTCCACATTCTGTACATTTAGTGCTAGTTTCATCTTCCCCAAATCTAGCTGCCACCAGCCTTAAACACAGATGAAGTCAGTGATAAGCTTTTCACTTCAGCAGTGTCATCCCAGCCCCTCTCCATCGTGTTCACCCTCCCAGTTAGTTTCTGAAGCATGCACATTGCTCTGCCTCCCTTGTCTTGCACTCATAGAATGTTACTCATACTTCAAAATCCATTTCCCATGCCCCTTTCTCCATGAAATCGTTGCAGTTTCCCCCAATGAGTTGTGCTGCCTTCATCCTTTGAACCTCTTAAGCCCTTTGAATCGCTGCTATGACTTTGATCATTTGCTGCTTACCAAACATTTACTGAATGTTTTTCATGTGCCAGCCACTGGGTAGTTGTTGGATTCGGAGAGTGCAGGGGACAAGAGGGAGAGGTCATAGGAAGATGAATTCAGATTTGAGTGAGATGTCACCTTTCCCTGGATAAGTTCTTACTCCAAGGCAGTGGTTTTCTACCTTTGCTGCATATTGGAACCATGTGAGAGCTTTAAAAATCCCAGTGCCTGGGTTTCTGCCCCTAAAGATTCTGATGTAATTGGTCTGGGATGTGGCCGGAAGGTTGGGAGTGTTAGAAGCTCACCAGGTGATTTTCATGCACAGCCATGCTTGAGAGCCACTGTGCTAAGTAATGGAAGAGACCAGACCAGTCTGAGAGTGCAGAGGAGTGTTTAGCCTGAAATTACTTTTATTTTTACAATTAGACTGTAAGCCATTTATGGGCAGGGCCCAGGACTTTCTTGTCTTTGGATTCCCTTACCTGATCCTTATCCGTAGTAGGTATAAGACAGGCTACCCAACAGAACTTGCTGCGATGATGGAGTCTTCTCTGTCTGCACTGTCCAATATGGCAGCCACTAGCCACATGCGGCTGTTGAGCAGTTGAAAGGTTGCTAGTGTGAATGAGGAACATAATTTTTTTAAATTTAATTTTAGTTAAATTTAAATAGCTACATGAGGCTGCTGGTTACTGTATTGGACAGTGTTGAATAAAGGTATTAAGTGCTGAAATGACTTGCCAGTGTTTATGCAGAAGCTTAGATGCCACAGGTTATTTTCTCTGAATGGTTTGAAAGTTTAATCACCTCATTGGAATCTTAATTTTAAAAATTTTTATTTTTCAGTTATAGTTGACATACAATATTATATTAGTTTCAGTTGTGCAACATAGTGATTAGACATTTATATAACTTACAAAGTGGTCACCCTGATAAATCTAGTACCCATCTGATACCATACATAGTTATTACAATATTATTGACTATATTCCCTATGCTATACTTTATAGCCCTGTGACTTTTTATAACTGGTAATTTGTACTTCTTAATCCTTTCCCTTTTGTCACCCATTTGCCCCAACCCACTCCCATCTGGAAACGATAAATTTGTTCTCTGTATGAGTTTGTTTCTGTTTTGTTCGTTTATTTTTAAGATTTCACATGTACATGAAATCATATGGTATTTGTCTTTCTCTGACTTATTTCACTTGGCAAAATACCCTCTAGAGCAGCGGTTCTCAACCTTCCTAATGCCGTGACCCCTTAATACAGTTCCTCATGTTGTGGTGACCCCTAACCATAAAATTATTTTCGTTGCTATTCTATAACTGTAATTTTGCTACTGTTATGAATCGTAATGTAAGTATCCTTTTTGTTTTCTGATGGTCTTAGGTGACCCCTGTGAAAGGGTTGTTCGACCCCCAAAGGGGTCGCGACCCACAGGTTGAGAACCGCTGCTCTAGATCTATCCATGTTATCACAAATGGCAAAATTTCCTTTTTTATGGCTGAGTAATAGTCCATTTAATTAATTTATTTATATACACACACACCACATCTTATTCATTCGTCTATCAGTGGGCACTTAGGTTGCTTCCGTATCTTGACTACTGTAAATAATGCCGCAATGAACATGTCTTTTTAAATTGGTGTTTTGGATTTCTTTGGATAAATACCCAGAAGTGGAAGTGCTGGGTCATGTGGCAGTTCTATTTTTAATTTTTTGAGGATCCTCCGTACTGTTTTCCATAATGGCTGCACCAATTTGCAATCCCACCAGCAATGCACCAGAGTTCCCTTTTCTCCACATCCTCATCAACACTTGTTGTTATTGTTGATGGCCATTCTGACAGGTGTGAGGTGATATTCATTGTGGCTTTAATTTGCACTTCCCTGATGTTCAGCATCTTTTCATATGTCTATTGGGCATCTGTATGTGCTCTTTGGAGAAATGTCTATTCAGGCCCTCTGCCCATTTTTTAATCAGGTTTGGTTTTTTTGTTGTTGTTGTTGAGTTGTATGAGTTCTTTATATTGGGTCGTTGGGAAAGTCATGACATATTTTTCTATGTTTTTTCAATGCAAAAATGCATCATGACTTTCCCGATGACCCAATATATTTTGAATATTAACCCCTTATCGGAGGTAGTGTTTGCAAATAACTTCTCCCATTCTGTTGGTTGCCTTTTTCTTTTGTTGATGGTTCCCTTAGCTGTGTAAAAACTGTTTAGTTTGATGTAGTCCCATTTGTTTATTTTTCTTTTGTTTCCTTTGCTTAAGGAGATATATCAAAAAAGATATTGCTAAGAGTGATGATGTCAAAGAGTTTACTGCCTATGTTTTTCTCTAGTTTTATAGCTTTGGGTCTTTAAGTCTTTAATCCGTTTTGAGTTTCTTCTTGTACAATACATGGCGTAAGAAAGTGGTCTACTTTCATTCTTTCGCATGTGTATGTCCAGTCTTACCAACACCATTTATAACACTATTTATTGAAGAGACTGTTTTTACCCCACTGTATATTTTTGCCTTCTTTGTCATAGATTAATTCATCATATAGGCGTGTGTTTATTTCTGGCTTCTCTGTTCTGTTACATTGATCTGTGTCTGCTTCTATGCCATTACGATGTTTTGATTACTATAGCCTTGTAGTATAGTTTGATATTACGTATCATGATACCTCCAACTTTGTTGTTCTTTCTCAAGATTTATTTGGCTACTTGAGGTCTGTTGTGGTTCCATATAACTTTTAGTATTATTCTAGCTCTGTGAAAAATTCCATTCGTATTTCGATGGGGATTGCACTGAATCTAGATTGCTTTGGGTAGTATGGATATTTTAACAATTCTTCCTATCCATGAGCACAGCATAGCATTCCATTTGTTCATATCTTCTTTAATTTCTTATACTTTTTTCAATGTCTTATACTTTTCCAAGTACAGTAAAACCTTGGATTGTGAGTAACTTGGTTTGCGAGTGTTCCGCAAGACAGGCAAACATTTCTAATATATTTTAACGTGGTAAACGAGCGATGTCTTGCAATACGAGTAGTTTGGTTTTGGAACGAATTATGCTCGCAAACCAAGGTATTACTGTACAAGTTTTTACCTCCTTGGTTAAATTTATTCCTAGGTATTTTATTCTTTTTGATGCAATTGTATATGGAATTGTTTTCTTAATTTCTCTTTCTGATAGTTTGTTATTGGTGCATCAAAGGCAACCAATTTCTGAATATTAGTTTTATATCCTGCTACTTTACTGAATTCATTTATTCTCAGTTTTTTGGTGGGATCTTTAGGTTTCTCTGTACAT